GGCCAAAAAAGATTCCGCTCAGGCTTTTTGCATCATTTTGCTAATACACATCCATTTTAAATGTCTTGTTGGCGCCATGGTATCATTTATCTTTGTTATAACTACAGCAGTGTATTTTCTTGCCTAATTCTTTCTTTGCTATCATGTTTTACACTGGGGTTTTATTTGCCCTCAAGCTTCCTGTACACAAAGCAGTCAAAATAACTGGCTTCAGAAATCAGGGACTTGCATACCTAAGTATCCTGGCAGAAGACACTTGTATTTTGCAGTTTATTAAGTGAGCTCTACTTCTAAAACAGTTATTATTCAAAAGAAGATTGTTAGCACTATGTCAGTGAAACTATTCCTACTTTATGTAATGCTTTCTCAAAATGAAGATTATATGGTACTAATAATTTTTAAGGATGATAGTAATAATTCTAGTGTAGCCCAAATTGCTGGGAAGCCCTTAACTGTCGAAACTTTGAGATATAAGTAGAAAGTAAAAAGGCTGTGTCTAGGTTATTGTCATCTCTGTCCTCAAACTTTGTGCTATCATAGATTCTTCCCCATACCAGTGAATAGTCATCCTAAGTTTAGATCAAGTTCAATTCATGCAGTTTATCTTTTATGCAGTCTGATAGTTTGGATTCAGAATGGCCTTCTGAGACATTTGTGACTGATACCAACTATCTTAGACATTAAAAACAAACAAAAGCTTATAAAAAGAAGTACAAATGCAAAGCTAAATTATTGTTATATTTTTGTTTATTTGGATTTTTATTCTGCATTCTTTTCATTTAGATAATTCCTGTTCAATAGTAAGCCAATTTGCTTTTTTTTTTTTTTAATGAGGGTTTCTTTATGTAGTTCAGGCTGTCCTTTGTATTTTAGGCTGGCCTCGAACTCACAATGATCCTTCTGTGTCAGCTGCCCAAGTGCTGAGATGACAGGTTGTGCTACCACATCAGGCCAATTTTCCTATATTTTTAAGTTAATATAATTTTTAAATTCCCTTTTCCCCTGTACAGTACTATTGCTCCAGTTCTGTGTCATGCACATTGCGTTTTATCCTCCAGAAAAATGTACAAAGGCACTGAAGGAAGCAGCATTTCTCAGCTTCCTTTGGTAGCTGCCCCTTAACTGTTTCAGTACCTTTTAAATCCTTGCCCATCCCTCCTTCCCAAAGTGTAGAATCCAGCATTCTTCTGAAATCCTTTTATTTACCTTTAAAATAGCTATTTATACATGAATATAATATTTGAATAATACAAGCTCAGTCTTGACTACTTCCTCCAGGCAGATTTTTCAAACTAGGAAATTACCTGCATTCTTTTTAACTGGTGGCATTCTTGAGTAGGATACAATACATTTGAAAGTGCTTTAGTGCTTGCTTTGGCAGCACGGTTTCTAAAATTGAAAGTGTTTTAAGAACCTGCACAGGGTTTGAAGATAGTAAGACATCTTGGAGAGTAAAAAGGATATTGACTTGATTCCTTTGTATCCTGCTCGTTTCTTGTTGTTATAAATTTTTACAAATTTAATTACCTTATTGATTTTCTGTAATTTTGCATGGTCTTCCTAGAGTTATTTGAAGTTCAGTAAAAAAGGTTGAATAACTCACAAACGAGTCTTTTTATCCTCTTGTTAATGCATGATCTCTTGCAAAGCAATCTCTTTAAGCACACTTGTTTTGGTGTGCTTAAGAGTCTTGTGGATGTGATGTGTTGTGATATGTTTTCATAAATAAGGTCAGTCTTTTACTCATGGACCATGGCCATTTACTTCTCATCTGCCTCACCCACTGACAGCTACACCTGCTCTCTCTGCTTATTATTGCTGCCATTTCTCTAGGTGAAACAAATCACATCTTCTCCACCCTGTCCACTTTTGTGAGGCATAGATCTTGTTTCGTCTGAATGCTGCTACTCTTACTGAATATAGTCTATTAAGCCAGTAGGCTACCATCCAGCTTACTTTCTGCTGGGTACCACCACTTGCTATTCTTATACCGTATTTCTCTTTGAGGCCTCAAAAAGGTCCTCTATAAAGCAGAAGGTGAACATTTTTCTTCCCACTTTGTCCTGTGCTTTTTAGTGGAAAGCCAGAACAGTGTTGTTTGTACATTAAAACATTTATAGAAATAGCTTATGCATTTTTCTCAGTCTTCCTACTCCCACTGGAATTAGACAGGAGCCCTTAGTACTGAGCCAGAAGACCAGTATAGGTATCTGGTAGACTCTGTACTACCATTCTCAGAATCTCCTGTGTCCAAATGCAGAGGATAGACCCCTTTGCTCTTGGTATTTGAAGTTCTCTACAGAACTCATTTTGCCTCTTCTCCCCCAAACTATAATTTGTGAGTAGTTTAGGACTTTCAAATGTGTTGAAGAACTTTTCAAATTAAAAGCACTGATGCCTCTTAGAAATAACCGATGTAGGTTATAAAGAAAACTATATTGCATTTTCCGCTTCTGTTGTCAAGACAGTTTTGACAAATCCTTGATTATTGAATTGATTTAAATGGAAAAATATAATTTCAAATATTGTCTTATGACATGTAAGTAAAGATACAATCCATATAGTTTGACCTATAAAATTTTATGTATTTAATTTATACAATAAAATCTTTCTTTTTTAATAAAATCTTTTTATATAACAACAAACAGCTAAACTTTAGCGCTCCTTGCCTTTGTCCAAATTGCCATAAATTATTATTGGTATCTTTATAGACTCTAAATTGAGGAATGTGATTTTTATAATACAGTCTAAAGGTGGTAACTTTCAATATGCAGTATCAGAGGAAATATATACCTATTTATCACGTCTTTTTTTCTTTAGTCACAATAAATGGTTAGTGCTTTTGTATGTCTTAATTCAAATACCTTCTTTTATTTAGACACTTGCCCACAGATGGATATTTTCTTTCACAAATCACCAATTTTGCTTAATAGTTATTCATCCATTCATTTATCTGTATGCAGTGGCAAATACATCTATTACAGTAGATCAGAGGTTGAGGAGTCCATTATTTCTTACTCTTTAAGGCATTTTAGTGCAAGGAAGACAGCTAATTTAGATTGACGCTGTTATGGTTTAGCTCTAGAATGTCCTTCCAAAGTCTTATGTATTTGGAAGATGATTGGATCTTGAGGGTGCTATACTCATCAGTGGATTTATCCTGAGTGCCATGGGTTAATCAACTTTCCTCCACCACGACCTTTTACCATACCCTCTCTGCTCTGGAGCCAGACAACCATGGACTGACACTGTGAGCCAAGTTGCACGTATTGGGTATTTTGTCCCACAAAAGAATGTTACTAAAACAAACTCCAAACACATTACTATTATATGTTTCCTTCTGACTCTTTTCAACTTCATTTTTCTGTGACATCCCACCAAGCACCTACATCTACTGTCATCCTTGGGACATGTCACATTTTTATCCAGAATTATCACGTGTGCTCCCTCTCATATGTCTGTCTATCCGAGTACAGCAGATTGCTTAGGTTACCACCACAGCCTCTGAAGTTTGTATAGATTTAAAGTCTGAGTCCACTATTTACTGACTAGTGCCTGTCTCTGTTTCTTCATTATAGAGATAACTACTTAGAAGAGCAGCTATGAGGATTATATGAATTAATACCTACAAAATATTTAAAACAAGTGTTAGCTAGTACCATTATCATCACTATCAACAACTAACTGGTAAAATCCTGTGCTTCTTTGCAGATCCATTAACATTTGTAACGTCTGTATCTCACAACTGTGCTGTAACATTATGCAGAACTGCCACATATTTCACTTTGCCATTTCATTTCTTGGCACACTGTATCTCTTTGGTTGAAAAAGCACCTGTTTCTTGATGGTTGTAAGTTCTTTGAAGCCCTAATAAAACTGAAGGACGAGTCAAGGAAATTTGTACTATGTCTAAGGCTATGTTTGACTGTGACCTACATGGAGAGTGTGGGAAATAATTTTAGTCACTTCTAATGTTTCAAAAGCTGATTGCTTCTTTCCCCATGAAAATATATCTACAAATACTGTTCAGATTTCTTTTGTTATCCAGAAGTTTACTAGAAACTTTGATAATGACTTCAATAATGTCCATAATTTAAATTGCTGTATGTTTCTAATATAGAACATAGTGTACTAGTGCATTTCCAGTCAAACATTTGAAAGTAATACCAATTTCTTATAAATATTTGTAAAATTTTTATCTTTTTTTCCAGATTCACACTGACCACCCAAATTGATGAGATTCTGCTTAATTAATAAAATTGTATCAGTAGTGCCTATAACTAGCTTCTGTTATTAAAATGGAAGGAGAAATAGGGTGTACATATTCACTGTCTTGTTTTTTTTTTTTCCTACAGTGCAGTTAGACTGTTTGGATCCATTCTGACATGGAGATTAACAAGCAATCTGAGTATTAATATAGTTTTACACTATTTGCTTTTTTAAAACACCATTTACTTTTAAATAGTGTATTTTATGCAGTAGTAGCTATATACCAATTATTTTATAAATTCCACCTTAATTAGCCTGTTAGTATGCAGAAGATTTTAAAGTTTTGCTTTATATATTAAAAATCTACCACATGTGCTTAAACTTAATAGTTCCTAACAGAACTTTCTTTTCCTTGAAATTATAACTTAAAAATACTTAAATACTAAGTAATTCTAAACATACTCAGTTTAATTAAGCATAACTTATTGAAAAGCTATATGTATTATACTATATGTATCATATATTTTGTTAAACATACTATATATATTTTTTCCTGACATTTCTCAATATGGTGACATTCTAAATCCAGGAAAAATAAGTATATTTTTCTTTTTCTAGAGTCTATTTCTGGATGATTAAAGATAAATATATTAAATTGTCTTTATTTTAATGGACCCTATCTCAAAATATCAATAGTGTCAACTGATTCTTTATCATTTATAGGGGATCTTAATTTTATAGGCAATAGAACATAAATTAATTGGCCTCTATTTTAAATTATTTTTAAACAGGACAGAGATTCCTTCTGCCATCAGATGTCTTTCTTCTTGACTGAACTACACCTGTGGTCTTTGAAGAATACCTTGCACATTGGGGGTAAATAAGCTTTGGATCAATCATGATATTTAAAAAAATACGTTTCACTATTGTAAATAAGTACTAGCAAACGTTAGCACCTGGATTCTCTTGCTGGAATTGCATTCTACTCCCTTAATAAAAAAATTTGTTAATGGAAATGATTCCTTTTAATCACTCTTATTGAGTTATTTTTTTAGCTTGACTTAATTTTTCTGCTTTGAAAATTAATTTTATCGGTTTAATATTTGTTTCCTCCTAAGATACTCCATATGTTCAATTTTTTTCCCTGCGATTGTTCATAATAACTGATTGATAATCAAATATTTACAGGATAGCTAGTGGCAGACATTTTTATTTAATATTAAATATTTCAAATACATAGCTATGATAATGCAACTATTTTCATGTTCTTTGTATTTCACACTTCTTGGGGGAGTAATGTCTTCTACCAATGTTTATTAATATTATATGATATAAATATTTCATTAGAAAACATCTTTCTAAAGATCTTCTTTTATTATCCCAAATAACTTTTGTATTTAGGAGGACATTTTTATTCATATGCCTTTTAGATCATGGTTAAGGAAATGGTTTGTCTTGCAAAGTCCTGTTTCTTTATACTGAGTATATAATTAGAGATGAATGTTACATTTTCACTGTTTATCCTGAAGTGTATAAAAATGAAACTCAGTTAAACAAAGATTTAACACATTTGCTTACTTCCCAAGCTCATCTAAAATAAGAGTAAAATGACTGAAAAAAGGCATAAACCTACATAGAGTAAGAGGATAGGAAAGGGAACCACTAAAGTGGACATGTTTTGGATTGGAAGTAACGAAAGAATTACCAGAACTGAAAGATCTGAATATCACTTGGCTGCAGAGGAGAATTCCATCGACAACCGAGTTATATCTTAAATAGGTAAAGAACTTCAGGGAGCCAGATAGTGCAGAAGATGGGTTTGTGTCATCAGGGTGACCACAAAGGGACTTGAAGGTCCACATAAGAAGTAGTGAGGTACCTCTTAATGCTGTGGAAGCATTTAATAGAGAGGTCCTGATTCGGGAGACACTAGGGCCAGACTTATCTACCTGAAAACAGGGATGAAATAGAAGCTCAGATGCTGTTGGGTAATGTCTACTTAATTCCACTTCGTTAGGAGAATATCATATGCAGTTGCACAATTTTCAAGAAGGAACTTGAGAAATTTGTCTCTAAAGTGACTGCATGGTTCCTCAGAGACTTAGCTACACTGACATTTATTTGAGGGCATCCTTCAGTGAAATACAGTATACTGGTGGACGTTCAATGAAGTCCTCCCATTGACAAACCCTATTTATATACTCAGATTCCAGTCAGATTTTTGTTACCTCATTTTAATAGAGAGCTAAGGATTGCCAGATGTTTGAAGAATGTCTTCAATAGGAAAGAAAACAAAACATAAAATGAGGCAAAGGATTTCTGAAGAAACAACATAAGGAGAGAAAAGGATATATAACAGAGACTTGAGAAAAGATACTGAATCCATAAATCTGGAGCAAAACTCAAACTTCACAAAGCATTTAATGATACTAATCTTAGTTAAAAGTATATAACAAGTGGATTGGGGATGTAGGTCAGTGATAGAGTACTTACTTGCCTAGCTCTGTGTTCAAGTCCTAAGACAGCAATGGAATGAGATGAAAATTAAAATTTCAAAATATAAATAGAAAAATATTTAAAGCTCAGAAGTAGCTGGGGGCTGTGACACATGTCTGTAATCCCAGCTACTCCAGAGGCTGCAGTGGGAAAATTGCAAGTTGGGCCAGCCTGGTCAACTTAGTGAGACACTGTCTCAAAAAATAAAAATGAAGTGAGGATGTAGGTCAGTATGCCTTGGTTCAGTCCCCAGTACTACCAAAAAAAAAAAAAAAAAAAAAAAACCCACACCAAAAAACCCCACAATGACAAAAACAACAAAAAACATACAAATAAATGAAAATAAAAGTCCAAAACTACCCCAAAGAAAGCTTATTTTATTACTGGTGAGATTTTTAATTGAAGTATTTCTTCTCTGATCCTATTTGCATGCTTTTCATCTTTCTCATTTCTTATTCTCGTATGTCTAGAATTTATACTTTTTTGAGATTTATGATATTCATAGTTTTTTTCTGGAGTTGTAGAAAATATTTAGGTGTATGGAATGATGGTATAATTCTAGCTTGAAATAGTTTTAGTACAGGATTTTTGCCTACATTCATACTGCGTATGGTTCTTAGTTTTAAACAGTAAAATTTTTTATTGGAGTATATGTATTGAGAAGTGTACAGATCTTAACAGTTAACTATCAAAATGAGGGCACACCTATAAAATTATCATCCAGGTCAAAAAATAACATACTGGTACTCAAGATGCCTTATTTATAACTTCTCTCAATAAATCCTTAGTAGATATTTTCAATCTAACTGATAGATATAAAACTGTGTTCCTAAAGATTGTATGTTTTAATAATGCTGTGATGAATAACATAGAGCTTCAGTAAGTATATGTAATTGACTGTTGAAAAATTGTATATGAAGAGTTAATTATAGAGGCATTTGTGTGTGTGTGTGTGTGTGTGTGTGGTTTTATCAGTTTGAAAAAGTGGAACAGTCAGTCACTAGGGGGCAGTCTATACTGCTTCCATTCCTTTAGAGACAGTTGTATCTGCCTTATGGTAGTAACTGAAAATTATTTTGCATGGAAGAAAACAAATGTTACTTCAATCAAAGAAATATCTCATTGTTTGCAGACATTGTAAAAACGGATAAAATTATTGTCTACTTCTGTATTTAAATGGCGAGAAGAGATTCCTAGGTTAAATCAATATCAACATCTGGAGGTCTAGCTTTTCTTCTTAGCTAGCCCCAAGGGAGACTGAATTTGAATGAATTTGGAAGCTTTTTAAATCCAAACAAGTTTCAGATAATAATTTATCTGTACTTCTCTATAATCCTCCCTTTCTTTCCTGCAGATTTTTCCCCAAATGCTGTATGACGGGAACTAGACTCTTGAGCTAAATTGGTGAAAAGCAAGCCACAGCTCCAAATCCAACAGCTAGGGCATTTTCTTCCATCCACTGATTTCATTTGGCATTGCTTAGTGGCAGTTCCTTTTGGTAGCGCCCTGTGAAAAATATCAGAGGAAGTGTGAAAGAGAAAACTTGGTCTTCCTTGATTTCAGTACTTTACTAATCTTTTCCTCATGCCATTCTAGTTTTGTGTAAATTTTTTCTCATTAGATTGATAAACTTTCCAGTTTCTGCATATCCCTAGAATAGATGAACCCATGTCCAGATGCTTTTGAGCTATTTTATTTCTAGTAACATAAGGAGACTGTTTCTGCTTCCCTCCCCTTCCTTGCCTCCAATATAGTATGGTTTGGCTTCTTATTCTCCAGAACTTTTTACCATAATTTAATGTTATTTTTCTCTTTCTATAGATAGAGACATCGGCGTCTACCAGTATTATGACAAGAAAGATTCAGCAGGTAAAGTATCTTTTCTACTTAATTAATTTTTATAAACTATGCTAAGCAACAAGATATTATTGAAAACTTCTATGAGCTTTTAATAAATTCTAGAATTTAAAGAAAAGTCACTTCAGTTCTTTAGAAAAATAGTAAGGTTGATAACTGGCTCATGTAAAATGAAATAATATTGATAAAATGTTGTAGAACAACATGAAATTTTTTATTTTATTGCTGATCAGGTTGATAACAGCACAGCTTATTCAGGTTTATTTATTGGTGTCCCAGTAGAGGGCATTGTTAATGCACGAGTCCCACTGATCCTGGCCTCCTGGATCCTCCTCACCTGATTATCCGAAATAGGCATTTCTGAGTGAATGATCAATTTTTTTTATCTGATTAATCCGGTTAATCCCAGAAGTTTTACGGTAGGCCAAAAGGTCTCCCTAGCTAGAGTTACTTCCTGTTCTAGTCTCTGTTGAAATGGGGCTCGTTTGAACATTCTGTGTACTTAGTTTGGTGCTTAATAGGCTGACTTCATGGTTCTGATGACAGACTGCAGCAGCTTCTCTTCTGGGCTCAGTTGCAGGTCCCTTTCTCTATCTGATGAGATCGGAAACTCAGGATATTGGCTCACCTATTTTGCTTGTAAGGCTTTTCATTGCAAATTTAGGGAAAATCTTTATGATATGAAATGTCCATGTTGTGACTTTGTTTTCAACTATCCTTTGTAAAGTTGAGCATAATTTATTAATTTCAATATTATGTGTAAAATAATTTATTATATGTGTACATATTAAAAATGCAAGATACTGTATTAAAAAAGAATTTCATTTATTTTTTCATCTCTCTTCTGCCACAGTGTTATCTACAGAGCATGGTAACTTAGAGGAAAAACAGAAGTTGGCAGAATGTAAGTTTACGGTATAATATTTTGGAATTATTATAAAACTATGAAGTTCAGCATTGCAAAATACTATGACTTTTGCACAAATCAGAAATGTTACTCTGTCCAAATTTCTTATAATTATAAATTCCTATTTAGGTATAGAAACTTATGAGTAGAAATTATATTTGGTGGGCTTTTCTAATTTAGATGATTGAAGTCTCTGTACCCATTTTGGTAAGATATAAGCTTATATAAACATAAACTTTCTTAATGAACTATGTTCATGTATCATGCTTAAATTCTGATGTTAACATTTAATTACTCACACTGGGCCTAAATTATTAACATGTTTTACCCATTTTAAGAAAACAAGATTTGTAATTATCAGTGTTTGTATTTTATTTAACCTTTATTGGTCTCAAATATGTATTTATATATATAAAATATGTTTTTAATGTTAGTGGTTTTAATGACTTAAGTGTAATTTAAGGTTCTATTTGAAATATAGATGGAGTGAAAAATCCCACTGTTCTGTTGTTTTATAGTTTAACTTTTAAAATACTATATTAGTAGGTTTAACTCAGATGTTAAAGTTTGTACATATGTTCTACACATCAAAATTATGTTTATAGAGCCAAGTTAATTAGATGAAATAATGATATATAGAAAATCTATTCTCCAATTTAAATATCTGTATTACTATGTGTATTATATATAGATGAACACATAACACACATTATACAACTTTTATTTAGAATGCAAAAATGAATTTATTTTTCTGATAAAATAGGTAGAATGAGTTTAACATTTTTTGTCTCTCTGTGTGTGTGTGTCTTTCTCTTTTTTCACTGGTGCTAGGGACCAGACCCAGCCCTTGCACATACTAAGCACATTGCTCTACCACAGAGCTGAACCTCCAACTCAATTTTATTAATTTTTTAAATTTATTTTAAGGGAAACATAATAACCCCACTAAATACTTTTATCTTTCAGTTAATTGATTTAAAACAAAATATGGGTAATACTAAATTGTGGTATAGATTTTAAAGAGGATGTTAAAGAGAAGTGCCAGTTTGTTAAAAGTTGGATTCCCCTGACTTTTTTCAGTTTTTATAAATGATACTTTAAATCACATTTCATATATATAATTTTTTCACTGTATTTATTTACTCTTGAGCATTTCCAGGTCTGAATGAAGCCCCATACAGAAATTTTTTTAAAAAATTGAGCATTCAGTTTTTTGCATGAAAAAGTTTTTAGTGCTAAAGAATAGGTCAGTTACTATTTTAGTACTACTAGATTCACAGGCCTACCAATTTCCCAGAGATTCTCTAAGCCTTGTTGGTTGTCATCATGAAATTACCATCAGGGAGATTGTTTTGTGGTAAAAATCCTGTTCCTATAATAAAGCCTTTTAAAAGGCTGTCATTTGGTGATAGAAATGAAGACCACTTCCTCTCAATTATGAAGGTGTTTTATTTTAATCTTCCTAAGGCACACTGCTACGCGGAGTTTCCTTTTTTAAATCATGTTTAACTAACCATAGTACATGTTTTATTTGCCAGCACGAGATTATCCTTGGACGCTCAAAAATAGACGCCCAGAAAAACTTCGAGACTCACTCAGAGAGCTGGAGGTATCTTTCAAAAAGTTTCAAAAATGGTAACAAACAAATCTGTTTTAAAACATCTTTCAACAACTTTAATTTTCATAAAGGATCAACTCTCATGGTGATGATAGCTTTGCTTTTGTCCAGTGCAAAGCTCCAAACAGTTGCATCTTTGTGTGGCATGTTGATTTTTTTTTTCTGTGTTGAATCAGAAGCACTTTAACTGATAATCACAATGTTTATAGCCAACTGCACTCTCTCTTTTTCTGTTGTTCTTTAGGAACTGATGCAAAACAGTCAGTGTGTGCTGAGCAAATGGAAGAACAAATATGTCTGTCAGGTAAAATGATCTGATAAGTTTTGCAGTGGAGCTGTGGAGCTGAAAACTATGTAGTAATTGGTATTTTTGTGTTATGATAGGTGGTGAACAAAACTTTTTAGGAGTAGATATTTCATAGTTTGAATTCTAGTCATACTAGAACTAACATTAGACAGATTGAAGTAGGCCACCAGAATACTGCACTAATCAGTGTGGTTGTGCTGACATACTGTAACACTAATAAAAATCTTTTCAGGTAACATTTTTTTGTTTGAACTTTTCTGAATGTTAGGTGTTTGCTGGCATAGATTTAATCATATTTTTTAGTGAAGATGATGTTACAAGATAAAATGTTTTTCAGTAAACCACTCTTCATAAGCATTTGTGAATAGCTTGTTCATGGAAATCAAACAAGCAAATTAGAGACCTAATATAACAAAACATTTTGTCTTAGAGTTCGAACCCTCTAAGGTGTACCTTTAATATGGTAGCCACTAGTCGTATGTGACAAAAAATAAACTTAAAATTTAGTTCCTCAATTGCATTACCCACATTTTGAGTGATCAGTAGATACATTGTTGTATTGAACAATGAAGATATATTTTCATTGCAGAATATTCTATTGACTGGCCTACAAGACATCTAAATATTCAGTGGGTTTAGGTATACAGTGTAATATTAGTACATAATAACTAGCATACATTGGTCATAAAATACTGGAAAAGTAGCTTTGTTGATAGTCTTAAAAAATGCCATTTGCCTAGAAAAAAGTTACTTGCTTGTGATGAAAATAATAATTCATCATCCATAAATTTACATTATTATTGATAATTATAATTTATGATATCAAGTATTCCATGTCAATTTAAGGTTTTGTTTATAATGTGATTTTTGTATAAACATTTTGTTTTAAATTTAGGCCTATGCTTCTATCCATAAGTCTGCAAAATACATAGTTAAAAATGTATCTTAATCTACCTTTTGAATATAGATTATCATGTTAATGACTTACAGTTTTTCTTCTTTATTTTTTGGTTTAAAAAAATAAAGTTCACCTTTATTCATCTAGGTGACTGCTTAGTTACCTCCTCAATTGGCATGGTTTTACAACTTTCCAGGCTGTTTACAAGGCTAAATGAATTTTTTTAGAACAATGACACTTTTTAAATTCACCTTAGGATGCTATTCAAAAGGATTTGATTATTTTAAAATGATAAATTATTTGTGTAAAAGAGTTTTAATCAGACTTTAAAACTTGAATACAACATTTCAAGCAGTGCAACTCAAACTTGTAGTTCTTAATGTCATTACTCACCTTAAAAATAGGCTCAAAATAATTTGACCGGAGGGCAAGCCTATCAGCTATAATAAGAGGTGCATCCAATGTCCTCCACCCTTACCATCATGCAGGGTAAGCTAGAACATGTCAAGAATCCTAAAATATGCAGTAGAGCATCCCAATAGACAACCTTTTTTAGATAGATTTCATTGCCTTTTAACTTAACACAAAGTTTGTCTGTTTATTTGAACAGGGGGATGTTAGAGAAGAAGCCTCTAACTTTTGAATTAATACAACTGAGAAATGGAATTTTTTGTGATAGAGTATATACAAAATAACTTTTGTAATTTACAGCAGTCTGACAGTATTGGTTATTTAGACTGTTAAACCTATTTCTCTTTTCCTTCCCCTTCTCTTCCCTTCTCTTCCTCTCCTTCCCCTTTCCCTTCTCCCCTCCATTGTACCAGAGATTGAACCTAGGGCTTCACACTGAGCTACATCCCCAGCCATTTTTTTATTTTTGATTTTGTGGCAGAGTCTTGCTAAGTCACCAGTATGCCCAGGCTGGGCTCTAACTTTTGACCCTCCTACCTCAGCTTCCCAGAGTGCTGAGAGTATTAGTCTGAGCTTCAGTATCCAGCTTGTGCTTTATTTCTGTGATGGATGAGATATTCCTAAAACTGACATTTTATTCCAAGAATATTCATGATGTAATTATTCTTGGAATAAAATGTCAGTTTTACTTCTTCCCTTGAGTGTAGGTCAATTCTTAGATCTTTAGACCCTTTGGAGCAGTAGCCTTCTATATCTTTAGTTTCTAGACAGAACTGTTAGATAAGTCTTCTAGAAATGTGTGCCTATTTTTTCTTAAAGAGCTATAATATTGGAATAAACTAAAAATCTGATAATCAAGCTAGATTTTTAGTTTAGGAAAAAAATCTGTTAGCCATTTTATTTAAATTTTTATTAAATTTTATTAAATGTACTTAATAAGCCATCTCATTAGAATCTCTGAGGGCCTTTGTGCACCCATTCAAAGTAGTAATTCCAAAGATAACATAGGTCAAATTCTATTAATGATTTTCATAGGCAGTGATTTCCTCTGTTTAGTTCTATCATGGCAGCAGTTGACTACAACATGTTTTATAACTCTTTTAGAAGTGAAAAAATTCCTGAGCATTCATAGGAACACATGTGAATTAGTCCACTCCTCTGTTGTAAATCTTTACCTTGAAGAATTTAGGGTTTATTATGGTTGTTTTGTCTTTAAGAAATCTTTTAATGTCTAATTGTTTAGACATCAGTGAAGTGGCTACAGCAAAATAAAGGATTTTACAGGATGTAACCTGAGCTCTGACCTTTCCCTGTGTCAGATGAGATGTAAAGGTTTTCGTCATTGCCAAACTTAATGTTGCCAAACCAATGACCTATAAATTGTGTACTAGTAGAAAATTATACCATTTTAAAAAGTATTCCCTTTACTTCTAAATTAAGAACAGTTTACAATTTATAATTTACTTATATGTAAACTTGGTGTTTTACATATGTAAAATTGTCTTTTGAGGTTAGTTTTTTATGCTATACCTGTTTCTTGTTTGAGATGCATTAAAAGATCTGAGATATAATTTAGAGTTGAGTTTTACTGCCTGTTAAATATACTACTCACTGTTTTATTGCCTCCTGAAATCATTTAATTATCAGAAGGTATTTAGTAATTTCCTGTCTTAAATTTCTTAAACTGTTTTGTAAACTTTTTTCAAGGAAAAATAGTTTCAGTGTTAAAACACTACTAAAGTTGAACACTTTGGTGGAATTTTAAAATTCTTTATCAAGTAGTATACTTTGTCATATTTGTGTTTGCAGATTATTACATAATTAGTTTAAAATAGTATTTTCATTAAGCACAGATACAACTTTATACGTACTATTTTTAAATTATTTGACTCATATGCATATATTTAGCTCTAGAAATATATAACATATTCAACTGTAATCTCATTTCTGTCTATAGCAATTGTACATTTCTAGGCACAGTCTTAAAATGCTAAGGCAGACAGTATCAACATTTTATTCCTATAATTAGTTCTTTGAAAGGTTATCTAAAAAATACAACTTATTTTCAGGTCTATCATAGATAAATTGCTGCTTAATGGAACTTTTTTGATTACCACATCTTTACTTGTGGAACTTGATCTTTCTTGTTTTTTTTATTTTTTATAGTCGGTACTGGGGATCGAACTCATGACCGCCTGTTTGCAAGGCAGGTTCTTATGCTGCTGAGCTAAATCGCCATCCCCTGAACTTGATCTTTCTTGTGAAAATCAATTTGGTTTTTTCAGAAAATAACAAACAATAGTGTTTACTTAAAACTATTAGTAATAAAATAATATTTATACAAAAGCCATCATACAATATTTATTGCCTATTACTGTTATGGGAGGCACTGTGAAAGTCACTAGAGAAAGTGTAAGGTGTGGGCTAAATCCCAGCAAAACCTAGTGAGAGAAAATAGACACATAAAATCACTAGAACACTAAAATAAGTGTTTAGTTATATGAAACCAAGTAAAAAATAATAGAAACCAAGAAAGCATAGGCATCAATGTAATCTGAAATAATTAAGAAAAATTTAGCACAGAAGTTATAATTTTACTTAGACCTAAGAGGACTTGTAAAATGTGATTAAGCTAAAGGGAAGGTCTATGAAAAAAGGGGAGATTAAAAGGGATGTCTTCATGATAGTGAGGCTGTAGGCCCACTTGGGAACAAATGATTCATGTTGACAAATAAAGTAATACAATTAAAAAGCAAGTTGGGACTTGTTTAACAGGGATTTCGAATGTTACACAAAAGTATTGATAGGTTATTCTGTAATTCTATAGATGGTTTTATGTCCGGAACGTGCTGTGTTTAAATTAGACTTAAGGAGAGATTAGCCTGTCAGTAGGCCGTAAGTGAAAACAGAAAGACCAGAGGGGCTCAGTACTATAGAAGACCTGAAGTGCAGAGAGTCTTGAAAACAGTAAACAAATTTAGAATCATGGTAAAAATATAGTTTGCATGAGAAGTGGCCAAAGTAATCAAATGATATTATTTGAGATATAGAACCAGAGTGAAAATTTGGGGTTGAGAATTTTGGAGGAGGCAGTCAAAGAGCTATTAAACCGTCCAATCTGGTACCTCAGGCAGAGACATAAGTGTCTTGGGAGAAGAGCTAAGAGCGACTTATGGAATGAGAGAAAAATGAAACCAACAAAAACAAGGAGAAAGAACAGTCAGAATAGTGAGGGACTGTAGAGAAATATGTTTCTCTAAAAAGCCTAGAGTTTAGAAGTAAGGGACCTTAGAAAGGTTTCAGGCAGATTCTTTCTCATTTAATGTTTAAGTACTTGAAAGTCTCAATGTTATTATTAAGCTGTCAACAGGATTTATTAGACTGTTCCCATGGGATGCGTATTTATTTATTTTTTAAATTTTATTTTAAAGAGGGTAAAACTAAACCTAACACAAAACAGAAAAAGATCAGAATAAACAATGTAAATGACACAGATTTCAAAGCAAAACAACAGGAGATTATCAGTGGCTACCATAATGTCTCTTGTTTTCTTCTAAATAGTTGTCCATATCCTCACACACAATGAATTCATACAAAACAAAATAGTATTAAACTGACAGAACAGAGTGATATAGGCATAATAGGCTTTCAAAATCCGATGATAGGGGAATCAACAATGGCTGCCATA